TCTTTCCTTGCAAATGTTGCCCTAGATATTTCTCTTAGTTTGATTACTTAATGATGATGGTCGGGGCTGTAGGTTAATTCTAGTTGATGCATCTTTTACCTGAAGATTTGATCTTCTTAAACACAGATTCTTATGTTCTCATCTGCGATTTCTTTTGTCCCGTGGTACACAAGATGTTTCTTTTAGATGGAAATCTTCATGTGGATTTGTTAATTTTCCCAGTGAATTGTCACTTAATTTGCTTTTGTAAATTTTCCTTTTTGATTTCAATTTCCAGTTGACCACGGTCAGCAACAATGGTTATGTGCCAAATTGCAAAATTGCTATCAAAATTATCAAAACTTGCTGCCTTCCATCTGTTAATTGCTTGACCTACACAAGGAAATATCCATCTTAGTTAACTTTCCATGGTCCGTTTGTATGTGTGCAAAACCTTCAGGTCATCTAATTTGTGACAATAAGGCCTTTTCAAGAGCTTCTATGGGCAGATCAACAGATTATTGTTGGCCAAGCTACTGCGGCTTCAGCATGTTTGAAGGTACGCGCTGAAAATAGAAAATTAGCCATATTGTGCATGAATTTCTTGGGGGTAGTGTGTCTTGTAAAAGTAAGGAGGAGGATAGTTCAATTTTTCTGCAGAATCAATTAGACCAAGTATGATAAATCATACTCTGATGACTGACATTTACATAAATGCTTAAATGTACAACAAAATCCTTGGAGGATAATGTTTCTAATTTTTCATGAGAAAATCTAATAGCCATATACTTCTTAAAAACTAATAGCATACAAACTTCATGTTTGAATTGATGTTTATAGAGCAATCATTGTTTTTTCTCTCCTGATCCCAATATAACTTCAGCTCATGTTCTGCAGCTACAACTCCATGCTGATGAGGAAACTTACAGATCAATGGGAAATGAGCCGACTATAAAGATTTCATAATCAGATTGCTGGTGTTTACCTTCAATGCCATGCAAAGCTTAAGGAAAACAAAATTAAGGGATATCTGTGGTAGAACCGGCCAATTTAATCTAATCCCAAGTACACTTATTAGCCTTTTGACACTAAGTGCTCAAGAGACCAAGTCAAATCGGATACACTAGTAGAGAACCTAGCTGTAGTCCTGGTTCTCAACCCCCTTTAATCCCGGTTTTGAAACCGGGACTATGCAATCGGGACTAAAGGTCTTGATTTTTAGTCCCGGTTCCTCCAACCGGGAGTAGAGGTGTTTATTGGGTAAAAAAGTTGCAGCTATGGAGATTCGAACCTACGACCTCCCACTTCAGCTCTTGCACGTGTTACCATCTCACTTACCACCACACATCTAACTTAGATAAGATACGCTTTCCTTTTAAATTCAGTTTGGAGACACCTTTAGTCCGGGTTTGAGAAATAAACCGGGACCAAAGTACTTTTTAGTCCAGGTTCGTGTCTCAAACCGGGACTAAAAGTCACACACTTTTAGTCCGGGTTCATGTCTCAAACCGGGACTAAAGATTCTCGCACTGACGTGCCTCTGACACACCTCGGTAACCGTTGGGCAGGGACCTTTAGTCCCGGTTGGAGCTACCAACCGGGACTAAAGGTTTCTCTAGTCCCGGGCGCGAAAAATACCGGAACTAAAGCCAAATTTCGAAGTGGATCAAAAGTCGTTTCTCTACTAGTGATAGTCTGTCGAGTATACCGAAAGAGAGAAATCGAAACAATCCACTTTTATACAGAATCCATAAAATGAGAAGATAAAAACATCAAAACCATTTCTTCATTACATGATTACAAAATCGGAGTTATTACAACAAGTTTAATGTAACAGTGGAAAGTGAATTAATTAATAGGTTTACAAATGCAAGGTAGCTAGATAGATACAAGTGATTAGAGTTACAGCGGAATAAAACATGTATTCACAGACATGTTTAAACATTAAGAATAAAGTGAAGCATATACAGTTTATTATACAAAACTTGGTAGTGTTATTGAAATAGGTGGTGAAATATATAAACACTACGTCACCACGATCGAAGTGGTAAACAAGTTCCTCATTGAGCCCACTAGGAGGTATCCACACACGAGTTATCTCCCAGCTCCACCTTCCACCTGCAACAGGGGGGAATAACACCCTAAGTATTAGAGTGTACTCAACAAAACTTACCCTACTAGGGTGGGAGTAGTCTCCCAACTCTCAAAGCATATTAAAGGCTTTTGGTTTGCATTCTTGTTGTTTCTTTTTGCGAAAGCTTACTAATAATGGATCCTTACAAGTCAAGCTTTAGCAAATCATATTAATTTCACTACTTAACCAGGTCTAGGTAAGCACCTATACTATTTTCAAGCCTGAGGTAAGTCAAGTATCAACATCCTCATGTCATCATCCAATTGATTCCTTTATGTTCTAGTTGTTTACTACAATAGTAGTAAGATGGAAAGTGGTGTACCCATATTCGAGGAGAGTGTCGGCTGCAATCGATGTACATTGTTGATAGTAGTTAACACTCATCACAAACCATCAATATAACTTGTATAAATGCATGAATATGATCACCAACATAGGTTTAGGGGTTTTAACTAACAAATTGCACGAGTTTTGGTAAATCTGTGTTTTTAGCAGGATTTATTCAGAAAATGTGGAAGGTGGACCCAATCGTCCGATCAAATCACGTTTATCCACGATGAAAATGACTTAGGAAGACTCTAGAAGCATCTAGAAGACAACACACGGCGACCCGACCCGAGAGGCTAAGGGGGAGGTCGGCCGGCCTCCCCTGGCCCATGGTCAGCCTCCGCTTCGAATGTCAGTTCTCCATCACCTCCTAGGTTCCATCTACACCGTTGCTTAAGGTCGGTTCCTATCGAGGGCTCAGATTTGACGTTGCCATGGATTCATGGGCCCACAGGACCCCTAGTTCCCCCTATATAAGGCCACCCATACCCCCCCCTAAGGGCATCATCCTCCATCCTCCATCACATCATCATCATCAGAAGAGAAGAGAAGAACCTTAGAGCTCCACAAATATTTCATGCACATAGCTAGCTAAGTTAGATCTAGAGAGAGGCAAGCTCCTTGCTTGGATTCCTGATCTTGTCAAGAGCATGGCTTGGTAAAGCATTTTGTATCCTCTCTTGTATCATTCATTATTCATATGTTTGCTACATTTGCTATGACATTGTTCTTAATATTATTCATGGTCTTAGTATAGCTAGATTATTATTATGTTTATGCATAAGTTCGCAAAGCGCTCACTCTTATGTACACGGGGAAAAGCCACAAATAGGTCTTTTGCTCTACCCTTGCATTCCATTACCACAAAGCAAACGCAAAGCATAGGGTGGGAGCCAGTGGCCAGTATTAATTATACTGATAATTGTTTGACAGGTTCAGAGCCCGAGTACGACTACCAAGGAGACGATTAGGAGGATTAGAGGTCTTGTTCCTACGCAAGTATATATATATAGAAAAATGTACTATAGGGGCGGTATATATATATATATATATATATATATATATGTGTGTGTGTGTGTGTGTGTGTGTGTTCTGGTCGAATTTGAATTTTTTTTACGGAAAAATATACTGTAGGGGCGGTTCTAGACTGAACCGCCCCTACAAACAGGTATTATATGGGTGGCTGGTATTACAACCGCCCCTACAAATCAATTTGTAGGGGCTGCTGATAACACCAGCCGCCTCTACAAATCGATTTATAAGGGCGGTCTGGGAACCACCCCTACAAATGCATGATTTGTAGAGACGGTATAGTAGGGACGGCTGGCCAAACCGCCTCTACAAATCACCTGGAGCCGCCCATACAAAAGGTTTATGTAGTAGTGTAGTGCTCTTCATTTGTCATATTGTAAATTTAGTATTTCTCCATTGCAAACTTGAATGATTAGATGGGCTACTGTCACAAGAAGAAGCTAGCTGTGAAGGTCATAAAATTGTTGAAACATTTATGCGTCTAGACCTACATAATTTAAGTGTGTTGAGAAGCTACAGTTAGAAGCAATTCATGCTTCAGAGTTTGTTGTATACTATAATAAGTAAAGGCCAAGGCATTTGATGCCATCTTTGGCTGATTTGTTATGGTTGCTTCTCGCCATTCTTCTCTGGCACTTTGATTTAATCTTCATTCAGAAAGAAAACTTTGATTCAATGCGCTAGGGTGTTCTACGGTATGCCAGATTGTTGTTCTATCATTGTACTAAGATTTCAATGATTGGTAGCCTTCACTTTATTTTTATCTACTAAAAGGAACAAAAAAAATTTAATCATCCAATGAATGCTTAAACCTATTTTATTTTGTTCTACTGAAAGGAACAAAACTCACTGATTATCTATGAGCTTTTCGCTGAAAGTATTAATCAAATTATCTGTGATCTCATGGGTACAAGGATGAAGCTAGATGATGGTCAGATAACAGGCTAGGCAGAAAAGTTTTTCGGGGACTCAATGACGACAACATATCAATGACACATACAAAGAGTTACAAGGCTTACAACAATATATATACAATATCAAGGTGGACCCACAAATATTCCTTCCAAGCTTTATGGCAAAATTTATTTAAACTAACAAGGACATTTCTTAAATAAAAATAATAATAAGACACAAACCAAAATAAAAAATATTCACTCATCTTGTTAAGAGGCTAACAACAACAAAGACAAAAACAAAGTCTAAAAAAAACGTCAAACAATTAGATGACTATTAGGTGTGTGACAGCAACTGATTTCCCTGTTTCATGCTAATTTTTCATTTTTCAGCATTTGGATGCACAATAAATGCATACCAACAAACAGCCAGACTCAAAACATTATATAGATCCATCCCATGGTGAAATATTGGTACATGTTACTCTGAATAAGAGTTTGCCAATATGGTGCAGAAGTAGGGGAATGACAACTCATTATTATGAAAATTGGTAAACAAAGGTTGTCAAGTATATGAATATCTGAAAGATGGAGTGCTTGCCTATTTTTGAAATTAATTAGCATTGATTGATGATCTACACCTGCATATTGAAGTCAGTGGCAACTGAAAATACAATGCTCAATGCGACACACAACATGTCATTTGATATGGTACATGCTCACAATGAACAGAACATGATAGGAAATCATACAAGGTCATAATGAGCAGTATATGGAACCTAACGATACTAATACTACGTTCATCAGCGACTGTCATCAAACACTCACAAAGCATAACTATGGAACTGTAACATGAAAAAAAAACAGGTTTGTTTTTTAGGATGGCATCAATTTTATAAGGTTCGCCAAGGGGCATTACATTAGAAACTAGGTCACCAGTCATTAGTTCATATAGCCTACGAGCCCAAAATGGCAAAGGATGACGTCAATACATAAGAGAGACCCCTAAAAGTAGCATTGCTGTATTCATAGAAAGTTTGTGTTTGCAACCTACAGTGTTACAAATAAACAGACTTCAAATTCAAGTGTATCTAAGATTTCTAGGAGAAATACAATATTAATGAATAACATGCAAACTACAAAAGGTAAAACAAACCCATGACAATGTTGCCTTTTGTTGCAATAAACACAAACTTAAAGCATTGTAGAATGCAGAGAAAGAAAAAGATCGTGTCCAAACCCAGTCAGCATATAAAAAAATGCATGGTCATATGGAAAAGATGAGACAAAGATTTGGTATACATAAAAGTCATGCCATTATGTTGAAGCAGTACTAGATTAGAACCACTGACAGTTTCTTTTGCTCCCGAGGTCAGGATTTATGCCCAGAATCCAAGCAACGTGGAGCAACACCAGAACGCAAAAGGTGACACTATTGCAAATGATATAGCATATAGCAAAGTGCTATACAGAATAAGCTCCACAGGAATTGGTACGGTAGAACTATAAGCAAAGATATATTAGCAACTACAAATCCTGGCATGGAACTTGAACAAGAATTGGTAGAACTATAAGCAAAGATATGTTAGCTCAGCAGTAGAAGAAACGCAAAACAAAATAGGAAAAGACTACAAGGTTGACAAACAGCCAATATAACTCGTTCAGTGGCTATCATCAAGCAGTGAAAGCGCAATCGTTGAACTCATCAAAGGTGAAATATAAAAGAAGAAAAGCATTTTTGTGTCGGCATCGATCACGCTAAAGCTCATTCATTACAGCCAAGATCATCACTGTACAGACTATGTAACTTGATCAATCATTAGTTCCTGACACATGGTGTCAAAACTGGCAAAGGGATGCATCACTACATAATATATAGCTAGCACCTAAAATAGCATTACTCCATTGAATCTATGACTGCTTATGACCATTGACAGTATCTCTGACTCTACAATAATGGTGGGAAATTATGCACAGAGCCCAAGCTACTCAGAGAACTAGCTACAAAGTGGTAGTAAAATCACAATCGAAGAAGCATATATAAACATGACTGATCTTGAAGAAGTAGGAATCCTGAATCTACCACAAGAATTGATAGGACGACTAGAAGCAAAGAGATGTTAGGGGAGTAGAAGAAATAAACCACAGAAACCAGAAACCATGTGAAGATCGAGGAACGCAGATCCGTGGATGCAAGAGATCAGAACTTCAGAAGCAGACGGATCGGACAGGAAAAAGAAACCGGAGGCACATCCGGTTCGAGAATGATTGAGCGGAAGAGAGAGAGTGGCCGGAACTCACAGTGACGGGGCGATCCAGCAGGTTGATGCAGACGGCGCAGCTGAAGCTCTTGCCGAGGATGTTGAGGACGTCGTCCTCTGCGCTGTCGTCGACATCATCGGGTGCAGATGCAGCAGATCGGCCAGCCAGAAGGTTTTGCCGGCGTCGCGCTTTCTCTTCGTCGGAGAGGGTGGTGTTGACCTCGATCTCGCGGATGGCGGCGACAAGCTCGCCTCCTGCCGCAGGGGCCGCGCGGGCAGCTGCAGGGTCTCTGGAGCAGTCGGGGCAGCTCCAGGTCGCGGCCTCGGAGAGCGCGGGGGGATTCGAGAGGCAAGGGGAGTGCCACGGAGTGGCGCAGGTGGAGCAGCGTAGCGGGTCGACCTCGGATTGCACGGCCACGCCGCAGACCATGCAGATGCCGGCGTCGTCGAAGGGAAGAACGGCGGCCATAGTGGTTTCGGCGGCGGCGCGTCTGGGTCTGGGAGTTGGGGAATGGGGAATGGGGAATAGGGGATCGGAGGCTCGCTGTCTTAGGGTTTTGTGGGGAGCGGACTGCGGACGGGAAACGTGAGAAGCGTGAGCCCTGAGGAAGTGACGAAAGCGGAAGGTGGTGGAAAGCTACTTTCGAATTTTGGCCTGTTTTGCCGCTGCCTGCGGTATCGACCTGACCACGCCCCGCCCTCGCCGCTAGTTTCCACGCAAAACCATTGATGGTATATAAAAGAGAGAGAAAAGAAGTTAATCGAGTGTCTCCTTCGTCTTTTTCAATTCTTTTTCTAGGATAGATCGATGCAGTTAAGTGCGACAGATCACGTAATTCAGCGAGTGCACGACCCATCTTCCTTCGCGACAGCGCCCTCGCCCTACTGGTTCTATCGCCGCCACTCCCCGTCCTGCCCTGCCCCACTAGCACTTCCCCTACTCCCACCAACGGCCGGTGACTCTGTCACCCCCTTGACACCGCCATCCCCTAATCACAGGGCCACAGAGAGCATTCACACCGCGACGCCCCGCCGCTAGCCCCGCCTAATCGACGTTTCCTACCGCCGTGTCGCAACCACCGCCAAACCCGGAACCAATTGTGTGTTTGAGTTTGCGTTTTAGGATTCCTTCTTCCTCCTTTCTGATGGAGTCAATCTGCGGAGGGTTAGTGTTGTTAGGGACGTGCATAGCTTATATATCATCAAATCTTGGAATATAAAATCCTAAGTCCAAGATTATTTACATGTGTTGACGGCCTCCGAAAAAGAATGGAGTTGAACAAACAGTTAAAAAACTATGTAACCTACATGATATATAGAGAGAGTTAAGAGATCCAGAAGAGTACAAGGAGAGGGAGGGGAGGACGACGCTAGCCATATGGTAGCTGCCAAGAACAATGTGTATAGATGTGAGCAAGGTATTAAATAGCATATAGCGGGTTGTTAGCGAATCGGTATCGAGGTAGAGGATCATGAATAGTGGTGTTATTGTAGACACTTCCAATAGCGGTATCTGCTAATCACGCATAAATTAAAGTATATGTCATGAATAGTGAGTACAAATAGACATTTAATTATACTCAAAGAACTGATGTCTCACGTACTTAAACTAAGAAAAAACATGGTGTTCTAGTTCCACACAATACATATAAGTAATCACATATTAGAGTTTACAATGAAATAGGTTATAAGAGCCACAAAATATTTCATAAGACCATCATTTGTAACCATTGTCAAAAGTAGTAACCTCATCAATCATATGGTCACTTGAACCATCTACATGTGTTGCCTAGGTTGGGAGTCAAAGTGAGCTAGGTTTATTTGTTGCATACCATATCATGCTATTGTGGCTGCTACAAAGAATTACATACCTTGACAGTGGCCCTCTACCTCAAATAGCGGCTGCTCTAAGTTCTAGCTTGCTAAATCTAATATGCTATGTCATATATAGTGGTAGTGATAAAAGACCTCTACCGCTATTGCAGCCGCTACGACTACTATTTATTATCATGGATGTGCAATATATAGTCTATCTTCAACCTCCTCCAAGAAGCAACAAATTCCCCCCTAAAGTTCTTCCTATTTTATTGTTTCTCTATCTCTCTAGGACGTGTCTCTAGTCCTAGTCGCTTTTTTAGATATCACAAAACCTTCACCATGTTGTCTCAGAAATAATGGGCTCCTTTTAGTGGCTAGCGTACTTTTCTCCTTAACGGCCTGTTTGGCAGAGCTCCACCAACTCCAGATTCACCAAAAACAAATCCGGATTCAATTTTTTTAGCCAAATGCTTTCAGCTCCATCAACTCCTCTATGGATCTGATCCACCAAAATGGTGGATCTTCCCCGGATTCACCAAATTGGTGGAGCACCTCAAGGGGTGCTCCACCAAATCCAAGTTTGATGGAGTTGGAAAAATTTATACACCATGCCACTGATTACATAAAAAAGGGTTCGTTCTTTCTTTCGCTTCTTCTTCCTCGTTCGTACGCCTACTCGCCCACCCCGACCGTCGCGCCGCCCCTCGTCGGCAGCCACGCTACCCCTCGCTGGCAGCCGCGCCGTGCCTGGCTAGCCATGCGCCGCCCCTTGCCGGCTGCGGCGCCCTTCCCAGGTCCCGCGCCCCACCCATGGCCGGCCACGTGCCTCCCCGGTAGGCCGTGCACTCGCCCCTGCCAGCCAGGCACTTGCGCAGCCCAAGCCAGATGTGCACTTCACCCTCCCCGAATGCGCGCTCGGCCTAGCCCGACTGGCTGCGCCTCGGCGGTGGCCGCCCCCAGCCGGCAATGCGCCTGTCCCGCGAGCTTTGGCCTCCTGCACGTGAGTGCGTCGTGAGGAAGAAGAGGCTACGATTTTTCCCTGGGCGCGTGGGATCGGGTGTCAGTGAAATAAGGAGAAACACTAGAACTGTACCAAACTCTTCAGTGAATCTTAGATCCATGGTAGAGTTGCTTCATGGTGGATCCAGGTGAATTCTAGATTTAGATTCACTTTTTTGGAAGGCCCTAAATTTTTACTTAGCACTCAGGTCTTTAATTGTTTTCCTCATTTTCGAGCTATTATCTAACTACTATATATATATATATATATATATATATATATATATATATATATATATATGTATATATATATATATATATATGTATATATATCTATCTCTACTTTAAAAAGAATTGATGAATACCTATCACCCAATTGAATCCCACACAGCTCATCTCTTGCCACTTAAGGGGTGTTTGGCGGAGCTCCACACAGCTCCAAATCCTCAAAAACAGCTCCGTTCTCAAATTTTTCAGCCAAACACTCTAGTTCTGCAAACTCTAGATGTGCCAAAGATGTAGATCTAGCTCACAGATCCACTGAATCCATGGAGCACTTCAAGAGGCTCTAAAAACTCTAATTTCGTGGAGTTGGTGAAAGTTACCCACTACTGCCATCCGTTACACAAACATACCAGTTCGATTCCTTTTTTTCGCCAATCTCTCCTATTTCACGTGTTCCTCCTCACCGTGAGCACCGCCAAGACTCACCCTGCTACCCGGCGTGCGCCCTGTCGCTGGCCCTAGCCTTGCAGGAGGACCCGCCTCGATGCCCAGCCCCAACCCCGCCGTCGTGACCCTGCCGGCTTGCGCCTCGTCGCTGCTGCGGCCAAAGCCGGTGACAGGACGGTCTCCGCTGCTGCCTCGTTCTGCTGCAGCGCCCATGGGTGTCTGCTTCGCCGGTGATTGACACGGTTGACACAACTATTTACATGCAGCATTATCAAGCTGGTGACATCTAATTTTAAGCAGAGGGAAAATTCATACCCTCACATTCTTTTATTCACTGGAAAAATTGATCGGCGTGGAAAGCTCCTAAACGTTTAGACGCCCGCGCCTGCCCCGCATGCTAAGCTCCTGAACGTTTAGACGCCCGCGCCTGCCCCGCATGCTGCTACGCCTGCCGGCCCGCGCCTGCTGCTACGTGCCCGCTTGCTGCAACGCAGCGAGAAAATTTGGTGCAGTCTGGCTGCACCCACGCATGGTGCAGACCCCATGGCGATGAAGCCATGTGTCCCCATCACGTCGTGATGGCAACGATGCCCGAGTAATCTGCCGATCCGCATGATCCTGCAACGTCCGTCATTTGTTCACCGCTGCAGTTTGGTTTCCACCGCAGCTCATCTAACCATCGGTGGTCAATTCCTGGACACATGGCTTCCATCGCTGTGGGGTCTGCACCATGCGTGGGTGCAGCCAGATTGCACCAAATTTTCTTCTACTTCGCATGCCCGCCTACCGCTGCTTCGCATGCTGCTCTGTTGCCCGCCTGCGCCTGCTGCTTGCGCCTTCTGCTCGCATGCTACTAGGCGCCTACGCCTGCTCCTCACATGCTGCTGTGCACCCGCGCCTGCTGCTACGCATGCACATGGGGTCCGCCTGCACTCGGTTTCCTCGCCTGCTAATGAAAACACTTGCAACATGAAGCATTTGCTACAAAATACGTCTCAAAATAGGTGAAATATTTGGAACATAAGCTTGCAACATATATGTATAGCCACTGCAACATATGTAATATCCAAATAAAACATTTGCAACATATGTTTGAAACAGCTGAAACATTTGGAACATACACTTGCAACATACGTGTGTAGCCACTACAACATATCCAACGTCCAGATAAAACACTTGCAACTTGCAACATAAAGACCTAAACAGATAAAACATTATGAACATACTCTTGCAACATATGTGTGAAACTTATGCAACATCCGTATCAAAAGCGCCTTAACATACATCGGAAACAGATAAAACATTTTGAACAAATGCTTGCAACATTCATCCGAAACACTTGCAACATATACAACATGTACAACATCCTGATCTACTTTTGCAACATCCATAAAAAGCACTTGCAACATACCTATGAAATATCTAAAACACTTGAGAACATACGCTTGCAACATGCGCTTTCAGCTAGCGCAACTTCTCCTTGCTGCTTGGGAGAATGGACGCTCGTCGGCGTGTGGAGCTCACCGGAGACAGTGGCCCGACGGCGCTTGTAGGCACCGGGCTTGCGATGGCGGCTACACGACCCGCCAAGGAGGCAGCGCCTATATGACTAGGAGAGGAAGCCAGATCCATCGGGGAGCCACTCATGCCAGGCCTACCGCGCTGGTCCACCCGTGACCAGGGCCGTCGACGTCGTTGCACCGCCGTGTCGAGGGCCGCTCGGGCCTTCACATCATGGCTCGCTCATGCTGAGGCCACGCCGAGGCCGCTGCGCCACCACACCGGGACACTTGCCTGCACCGCACCGAGAGAGAGAGGGAGAGGGAGTAGAGCTTGAGGCACACGAGAGAGAGAAATTAAAGCGGAGGCAAAGAGGCATGCGGTGGCTGATATTTTCCAAGGAGTGAAAGAACCACGCATGCGGACCTAATAGGTATAGGAGTGGGCGGGTCAGGGTCCGTCCATTCGGATGGACGTCGT